GTCACTCTAAACCCACTAAAAAAAAGCAACCTAACCTGTGATTGGCTACTTTTCAAGAAATCCCACCTCTTGAGGCTGTATTCTAACCGTTTTGTTTCAAGAGTTGGAAGTGTGTAAGTGAAGTTATCATTAGATATAAGATGGTCTGGATAAATAGTGGATTTTGATTAGCTTTAGGGTGTCTGTTTATAAGGGTTATAGGATCATCTGCAAAAAAATGTTTAGCTGAAACAACCCAATACTTTCTGTTAACTCAGCATCAGCTGGAAATGAGAAGACGGTCCACGCTGGTTACCTTGGTAACAAATCACAACTGAAGATGATGGACTTCCTGAAAAGTAGCCAATCACAGGCGGGTTGCTTTGTCCGGTGTGTAACGCCTTCAAAGTGACCAAAGTTAATTGGAGTAAGTAGAAACTAGTCCCCAGCCACGCAGAGAAGGAACAAGCACTCATGTGGCTGATATATTGGGGCCCGTGGTTCTCTAATTGCTCATGTAACACCTTAAAAAAATGCACTAGTAGTTTATGAATGTCTGTATTTAGTAAAGCTGCTCGTAGGAGCATTTATTGCATGTGTGGAATCCCGACGCCATAATAGAACAGAATAGAAAATCCCTTTATTGTCCCACAATGGGGAAATTCTGCTGTTTACAGCAGCAAAAAATTTTTAGATAAACTGTCACACAAATCTTGACCTTAGAAAAATGTATAAGTATAACATAATAGTGAAGAGTTAAAAGATAAGCAATAAAATACAAGACTGTAAAGTGTTTTAATTATATAAAACTGTGCACCTGGAGAATAAATAACCGATATGCAGCTATGCATATCTTTACAGTAATGGATATTTGAAAATAGCAGCATCTTCAGAGATGTGCAAAATGACAGCAGCATGTTATTTAACTGACTAAGGTAGAAACTGCAAAATCAGCATGAATGTTACAGCTTATTGAGGTTGTTGGGAACAGTGGTGGTTCTAGAGTCTTCCAGCTGCTGGGAGGAAGGATCTGTGATAACGCTCCCTGGTGCATTTAGGGTGCAGCAGTCTGTTAGTGAAGAGTTCTGCAACAGGGCTTTATATGTGAGAAGGATGATTTTAAATTCTATTCTGGATTTAACAGGAAGCCAATGAAGAGAAGCCAGGATAGGAGAGATATGATCTCTCTTTTTCATTTTCATCAGAACTCTGGCTGCAGCATTTTGGATCAGCTGAAGGCTTTTAACTACAGTTTTTGGACTTCCTGATAATAAAGAATTACTATAGTCCAGCCTTGAAGTAACAAATGCATGGACTAGTTAATCTTTTTTAAGCATTTCTTTTTACTCCAAGTTAGATGCTACTTTGTCTTGATCTTTCTCATAAAATCTAAACTAAAACAGCCAGGAATCATATAATGTTGCATATGGACAGTGGTTGATTCCTCCTTCTCAACACTTTGCAGGTTATGTCCCAGCACTATGGTGACGCCTCACAAAAAGAGCATGCTGGGAAATGGAAACTATGATGTAAATGTCATCATGGCGGCCTTGCAGACCCGCGGATTTGAAGCAGTGTGGTGGGATAAAAGAAGGTATGTGAGGCACTTTGTTTTATTGATATGCACAAAACAATTCCAAATATTTACTGAACAGTGATGAAACCAAAAAGAGCGAGAGCGAAAAGTAGCTGAAAGCGGGGTATCCGCTAACTTGGTTAGCTTTAGCCTAGCCCCAGCTTTCAGTTGGACTTAACAAATGCTAAGTTCTGCTTGTTCTTTGGTTGTTTGCACATCTCTTTGTGTCAATAAAGTATTTAGTATTGGACATTTGACAAATGCTTATGGTGCACTGGGGTTTACCCTCATGTCACATACAGTCATGAAAAAAGGAACTCCCAGTTTAGATTTTCCCACAGCTATTAGGAAACCTTCTCCCACTCTTCTCTTATATCATAGCTTGAAGACATGGCTGTTTTTAGACATGAACTTCATGTTAGCTCTAAAGCTCTGTCTACTAGAGCTGCACTGATTGATGATGGATCAGTGTAGTCCTGTTTCTCTGACTGTGACTAACTGGATGTGCTCTTCATCCTCTGACATGGCAGCTGGCTCGAGGCTTGTCTGCCTGGATGAGTGTTTGCTGGACGGGGCCCCTCTGCGGAGCTGGTTGACAGTTTCCTTTTGCATCTCTGCATCTCTTTCTATAGCCCCATTTCCACTACGCTTTTGAAACCATGCCGAAATCGGTCCGAGCACGCTACCCAAGATAACTGTGTCATAAATGGTACGCAGCACTGAACCGGACCAACCCAGACACAACCGAACCGCGCTAAACTGGTACTAGTTCATCAGTAGGGCTCGGCGCTGTTCAGTTCAGGCTCGGTTCTCAGATAACAAAGAGCGCATGAGCAGACCACGTCATCTCCAGTTATGATTCTGCTCAGCAGTGTGATGAACCTCAACGTCTGCCTGATTAGACTATCATTTCTCGTATCCACTTCCCCACTCTGTCAAGTACATTCACCAAAGGCTGCCTTCTCCGCTTCACTCTCAGCAAACTTTCTGAATGTTAAGGGCGCTGCCATGTTGGTTTGTTTACCTCTAGAGAGCAGTAGTACCGTATATCTCCACTAGGAGGCGATCAACTGTGCTAGCATGGTGTGCAAATGGTCATAAGGAACCGAGTTCAGCACGGTTAACTGATTCAACCTCAGCATGGATCGGATTTCAGAGGGTAGTGAAAATGGGGCTTATCTCTGCTTCTGTCTCCTTGAACTGCAGTGGGCCTCAGCAGATGGCTGCCAACACTGAACCTGGGTCTGTTGGAGGTTTCCTGTTAAAAGGGAGTTTTTCCTCTCCACTGTCCCTACAATCTTGCTTAGTGTGAGGGATTGCTGAAGAGTCAATGAGTCAATGCAATCAGCTGGTTTTCCTTAGATAGAAAACTAGGAATCAATCGACTGGATGACCTGGTGAACTGTAAAGGGCCTTGAGATGACGTGTGTTGTGAATTGGAGCTATAGAAATAAACTGAATTGAATTGATTCGGCGATGATTTCCATTATTTGTTGTTGAAGATTTGTCGATCAGTTGATACTAGGATGTTATACCGATTTTATCCACCTCCATAAAGGTTGAAGTTATTTCTATTTGAGAGCACTACCTCATTAGCTGTTCTTATTGTTTCACTAATGTTTTTCAAAAAGTTAAGATGGAAATATCAAAGGTTTATTCTGATTAAATGAGAACCTCAGTCATATATAAAAAAAAAAAAATCCGAATTAGCAGTTCAGACTTTTAAAATATCGATCATCAGCCAGAAAACTGCAGCCTTCTCATCTACGTTTGCCACACTGCTAATGACCCACTTTCATCCACTCTCAGACGGATGAAGCAGGCTCACATTTGATCCCCGGATACTTTGCTGTATAAACATGTGTAACTGAGCAGAGGTGTTTCTCTGGCTTCCCTTCCCAGAGAGTCCTCATACACGCTAACCCCCGCCTGCACAGTCTGACATGGCCTCAGATCTTTTTTATTTACATTTCACTGAGCATTGCAGTCTGACATAGAGGTTAATATTGGTTAGTCATACATACATAACACCCATGAATAAACCCTCCTGCTGTTGAATAAATAACTTCAGAGTGTTTGGATATGACCTGATGACCCTTTTCAGGTTAATTTGAAGACTCAATGGCTCTTCTTCCACTGACAATGCATCTGCTGGACCACTTTGGTGCTCTTCCTGATGATCCTTTAATCTGCTGTGTTTAGATACCAGCTATGAGATTAGACAACTTCCAATAAAACTTTTACATAGCTGTCTAGATTTGTAAACGTAAGTCGATGTATAGCCAACCCCTTTATTCAAGATTTGTATTTGTTTCTTGTAATTTTATACATACATGTGACATCAGGTGACTTATCTCTAAAAGCAGTTTAGGAGTTATAAAGTTACACCTGGAGTGTAGAGACTCTAAGAAATGCCTTTAGCTGACAGAGTCACACACTTAAAGTAGGAAATATACCAAAACTTTGTCAATCTGCTCTATCCAGAAGCTTTAGTTTCACCTGGTTTAATTCTGTAAAAAATCTTCTTTAAGAAGCTTTTGCTATGCGATTATTAATCAATTAATCTGAAGAACAGATTAATCTATTGGCAAAATACTGGTTAGCTGCAGCCATAGTTGAAACTTTGTAAATTGTATTCATTAAATATAAACTTGTATTTTTACAGATAAAGATTTGATATTGCATCTATCAGTGAGATGAAAACAAGAAAAAAAAATCTAAATTAGTTTTTACGTTATTGACTCACATTTAGAAATGTAGACACTTGTGCAAACGTTTTATTGGCAGTTATCTCATATCCCTGCAGGAAAAGAAAAGGTGTTTCCCCCATTATTAGATTACCAGTCAGAAACACTCTCTTGTTTAACCTTGTCTTAGGAATAAATTTAGTACAAAAAGCTAAGTTTTAGCAGCATCCATGCTGGTTTCCACTACCTTTCAGTGGCTTGTTTTTTGGACAGTAGGCTGACAGGAGGTATGAAAGAAGGGGAGAGACATGCGGCAAAGGACCACAGGTCAGATTCGTAACCGGGTCGGACGCGTCGGGGACTAAGATCTCCGTACTTGGGTTGTGTGTGCTAACCAATGCGCTAGCACGCCCGACCTTCCCGATCAGGTGACATCAGACAATCTTGACTTGGATCTCAACTCACTAAGTTGAGAATATTGCAAAACACAATAGTTTTTGTTTTTCAGCTTGGAGTGAACATTTTGGTGGTTTATTACCACAATGTGGAAAAAGGAGACATTTGTAATCACAGAAATGACAAGAGTCACTTTCATTTACTCATAGCCTAGTCACCTTTTTACAATTTTTTTATTTATGAACTAGTAGCTTACTCTGGTTGCATATAAAGATTTTTGTGGAAGATTATAGCATTTTTTCGGTGTTTTGTGTTTTTGTTGTATGCATCTGTTTTTCTCAGTTTGTTATAAATGAAGGCCTTTGGTTGACAATAACAACAGAGACTGACTGGAGGTAGAATACTGCATATGTGAGGAGGAGGTACTCAAGGAAGTGATGTTGCTTAGCAAGTTAGCACTTCTCAGCAGAGTTGTACAAATAATTAGGAAAGTCTTAAGATCCAGAGTAAAAAAAACTCAAAAGTATGTTGATCTTTGTTTTTTCTTCAGGCTTCCGCCTCTGACGCATTGACACCATAGACATTGGAGGTTCCTTCCTGTTAAAAGGGAGTTTTTCCTCTCCACTGTCGCTACAAGCATGCTTGGTTTGAGAGATTGCTCAACAGTCAATGAGTCGATGCAATCAGCTGTTTTTTTCTTGGATAGAAAACTTTTAACCAATCTGATTGTTCGGTCTGGTTGAATTGTCTCTGTAAAGTGACCTGAGTGAGGTTGGCCCCCCCACCTTCTTCAAATCAGACAAAATTAGTGTCAAACGTTTGTGCTACATTTCTGCTGGTTTGTGCAGCAACATTTTTCGTTTGTGCCTCTTTGGATTTGAAGATTTGAAGAAGGTGGGGGGGGGCTGGTTGACCTTTGATGACCTCTAGAAATATTTCTTTATATCTTTAAAACAATAGCGGCACAAACCAGCACAAACGTTTGACACTAATTTTGTCTGATTTGAAGAAGGTGGGGGGGCCAACTTCACTCACATAGTAAAGTGACCTGAAATGAACTGTTGTGAATTGGAGCTATAGAAATAAACTGAATAGAAAATTGAATTGTTGCTGCGTTTCATTGGTCCATAACATTTCTCTATCAATGCCAAATGCATTTGTTGGCATTTGGCAAGATGTATTTTCAGGAGTTTGTGAATTAACAAATTTCGCGACTATCTTTCTTGCAATATAAGCTCATTGCAGCTGCTGCTGCAATTCTATTTAGGCTTAAAACGGACTCTAAACACTATCAGGATGGATGCTTGGTTATGTAACCTTAAAGGGGAACACCGTGTTTTTTTTTTTTTACATTGGGCCCTTGATTTTACGTTATTACATCATGTTCTACTAACTCATATGAGTTTTGTGTCATTTGGAGCTGACACAAAACTAATAGGGGTGAGTAGAACATGATGTAATAACGTAAAATCAAGGGCCCAATGTAAAAAAAAAAAAAACACAGTGTTCCCCTTTAAGGGCAGATTACACATCTGCAACCGCACACATCAAATGTCCCGTGGGTCTGGTCACCAGTTTTGCTGGTATGCTTCTGCAACGTCGGTCTGGAATTTCTAGGGACGCACAGCAGTTTCCCGCCAAAGCGCAAGGAGGAGCCTAATCATGAACTTCCGAGAACTTCAACGGATTGTACTTCAACGTAGTTGTTCAATATAGTTGTTCCTCGGTTTTTAAAAATGGTGCTCCCTGGCACTGTATCGAGAAGGACGACCACACGGACAGCTGGAAAGGCACACCAAGGACCAATCACAGCTGCTTTTTGTCTGCACGGGTTGCCACTGTCCGACGCGTAGTCAGGAATTTTTTTGAGGACAGAGACGGATTTGACGGTTGCAGAGGCTATGCGTCAGAAGCATAAATTGGCCTTTAGTTTATGAGGATCTTATTGTTTTTGGTCTTTTTGTAGAGTATAAAGTGACTTTGGATCTTTAAAATGATCCATAGTGAGACAAGGTGGGTTGGTTATTTTTTTTTAAATATATTTTCTATGGATTTTTAACTAGTTTGCACATTTAGCTTAAAAGTAAATCAGAATTACTTCAATTATTTCTGAAAGCAGGGCTGCATGCTCGCACCGCTTGTAGCACTGTTGCCTTGCGGCAAGAAATGTTCTGGGTTCGATTCCCAGCCTGGGGTCTTTCTGCATGGAGTTTGCATGTTCTCCCTGTGTATGCACTGGTTCTCTCCGGGTACTCCAGCTTCCTCACACAGTCTAAAAACATGACTGTTAGGTTCATTGGTGTCTCTGAAAGGTGTGAGTGTGTGCATGGTTGTATGCCCTGTAATGTGTCCACTCCACCTCTTGCTCATTAAGTGCCACAGATAGGCCCCGCCCACACCGCAACCCTGATGGTATAGGCAGGAAAAGATGGATGCATGGATTTTTAAAAATGGTAATAAATTGTAAAAGTAGGGAGCCCGTCTGGTGACACGGACAGAAAAAAGGTTTACAAGATGTTAAATCATGGCCACGTTTTACTAATGCATGTGAACGAGATATTTGAGATTCAGATTTGTGAGGGAGCTCCTTTATGGTGGTGTAGCATACATTTTAGAAACATGGAGAGCATAGATTTCATTTTGTTTTATCCTTGGAATGGACTAATGTGACATCCTGCGATCTCTTGCAGTTAAACAGAGGGGAGAGGTGAGACACATTTAATTCAGGTGCTGAAAGCATACAGATTGAGACATAAAGAGTATGTTGACATTGGCCATGTTATTGACTTCGTCCAGAAGGAGCTGAAAGGACCAGAGAGACTGCATGCTTATTACTGGACGCACAAAAAATGCCAGATGAAAGGCATCAGGGCAACAATAGAGGATGTACGGTTAATCATTGCATGCTGGCTATAATTTCTCTATCTCCTACCTACGCATTAGTAATGCTTGGCCACGATTTAAAATCTTGTAAACTTTTTCTCCTTTTATTTAAGTATTGAGGTACTTATTTCTCTTATTACTTCTGACTTCTACTCATTACATTTTCAAACAAGTATCTGTACTTTCTATTTCTTACATTTTTAAAACAAACGTTACTCGTTACTCTTGGCTTTGGTTTAATGTTTATAAATATTTTATTTGCGCCTTCCAAAGCAGATCATTGGCTCCATTCACATCTAGTGAAAACTGGTGTAATTGGATGAGTCATATAACGCAAACACTCATTGGTTAGCTAACCCCTTGAACCCTACGGACCCACCGGCGGGTCCAGCTGCTACGTGACCTCGTAATTTTANTGACATCAGACAATCTTGACTTGGATCTCAACTCACTAAGTTGAGAATATTGCAAAACACAATAGTTTTTGTTTTTCAGCTTGGAGTGAACATTTGGTGGTTTATTACCAGGCAGCAGAGGTGTCAAGTAACTGTATTTAAGTGTTGAGGTACTTATTTTTCTTATTACTTCTGACTTCTACTTATTACATTTCAAACAAGTATCTGTACTTTCTATTTCTTACATTTTTAAAACAAACGTTACTCGTTACTCTTGGCTTCGGTTTAATGTTTATAAATATTTATTTCCCGTCGTGTGCTCCATCCAATGCAGATCATTGGCTCCATCCACATCTAGTGAAAACTAGTGTAACTGGACGAGTCATATAACGCAAACACTCATTGGTTAGCTAAAGGAAATCATCAGAAGCAAGCAGGTGTTCTTCAAACTGTAAACAGGAATTGTCTATGCCATGCTACAATGATGGATTCAGAAAAATATGTTGAAATGTCGGACAAAGGAGAGAGCGTATCGGGAGACGGAGACCAACAAGACCTCCCTCATCCTATCTTTTTCGAAATAGTAGAAAAATTGAGCTTTCAATTAATATAGTGGCATCTGGCTGTTTTTATTAAAGGTTACTTTATACTTTTATACTTTAAGTCGTTTTTGGAGCACATACTTTTTCACTTTTACTTGAGTAAAGAGGTCAAGGTAAAACTTCAACTTTTACCAGAGTGTTTTTAAACTGCAGTATCTATACTTCTACTTAAGTATAAAGAGCCAGACAGGCTCATTATAAAGGGCTTATACAGTTTGATTTGTCACCTACAGTAAAGTGTCATCTATAGTGCATTGCTGTGAACTCTACCAGCAGAAACGTTCTCCTGAGTTGCTCAGTGGCAAAATGCTGAGACTGTGCAGCTGATTTGGAGAGGATGGGAGGGAAAGTCCAGGATGGTGTTTACTTTAGAGCACATTGTCCTCTCTGATGATCACTGTCGGAGAGTTCAGTTCCTGCCTGATCATGCTGTTAGAAGTCCTGTTCAGTTTGTTAGTGTCCCTCTGAGCTTCTCCACCTGTAACACATCCCACCACTGGGGAGATTTCTGAGCCTGGATCCAGTGAGACGGCATCACTCTCTGTACATCTGTAGTTTGTATTTTACTGCTGTTTTAGTTTGATTCCCCACATGGTCCATGATTGGTTGGGGAGAGGTCGAAAACCCCAAAGATAAACACTTCTGTTTGCGTCCAAATGTTTGGTTGTTTCTTTCCACATGTTTCTAAATCAAAGTGTTCATAAGGACAGGAACCAGTCAGGACTGAAGCCTGAAATGCAAACAGGAGGTCGGCTCATCACTCAATCTAAACTAAAGCAATCAGTAATTAGTCAACACTTCCTTCTGTTTGTTCTTCCTTTATTATGAGCCTTACAGGATTGATAACAGCATGAGTGGCCGCTGAGATGTTTCCTGCTCAAATCAGTTCCTGTCTTTCTAAACGGGAACATAATCCGCGTTACTCATCCGATGAGCGCAACTTTCCCTCTGCTCCCTTTTCATGCAGCACAAAGTTTTTGTTTTATTTATTTACACTCCTGTCTGGGAAGGATAGTATGGGGAGAAATGTGTTCCGATATTATTGAAAGAAAACAACACTTTTTGAAAAGGGAAATTTAAAAATTAAATTTTTGAAAACCATTTTGCATAATGTGGATGAAAATACTCTAACCTGGTTAACAACAGTGATGATGTGTAGCAACTATGTTATTAATCTGCACTGGTTTGAATACTTTCAGAGAAAGGAGGGACGTCTAGCAGACATATATTAAAATGGCACAGCCCTAATAAATATTATATAGATGGATGGATGGATTTTTTTTTTTTTTATTTGGGGGATTACTTTTTTTTTTCAGATATCAAATCCTATTTCCTTTTCAAATATGTCTTAAATTATGGATTTTTATTTATATTTTTTACCTATTGTTTTCTAAATCTTTTTTTTTTTTTTTTAAATTTGAGGGGGATATTTTATTCTCTTAGATATAATTTTCCAAATGTTATAATTTTTTTAAGTTTCCTGCTGTAGCTAACAGACGAGCAGACACATTTCTGTAGGAATATAGAGGCTCAAATCTGCAAAATAGGAATTGAAAAGAATAGAGTTTGTAAAAATCCACCTCCTAAAAATATTTGAAAGTAAAAATCTAAACCAAAAAATAAAACCTGATATAAATAAGCTAAAAATGTTGTAGGAATTTTTCATACATTTAAACCACTATAAAATAGTAGATGGGTTAATACCGGTTCTTGAGTGCTATAATACTGCTGACAGCTAAATGTTCTGGGTGGAATCTGTGTTTTGTGCTTTTCGCGTAGTTTTAACAACACTCTACGACCAAACCTGTTCTGTCCCTATTTTTTTGGGAGTTTTATTAACATGTATGAGTCTCTTAAGTTTTGAAGATCACCTATAATAATGTTTTTAACTTGAGTTTTCTTTTACCTCCACAGAGACGTAGACAGAATCGAGCTCTCCAACGTGGAGGGCTTCATTCTGAACGTACCGTCCAATCTGCGCTGGGGGCCTCTCCGGTTGCCTCTTAAACGCCAGCACTGGATTGGAGTCAGGGAGGTGGGAGGGGTTTACTACAACCTGGACTCTAAGCTACGCAACCCTCAGCCTATTGGCAGTCCGGATGAGCTCAGGTGAGAATAAGATAAGATAGAAAGGACAGAACTAGAAACTGGTTTATGTTTCATTTATTCCAGAAAAAATGTGCCGACATCCAGCAGACCAATAGAAAGGCTTCTTTGCTCCTCACTGTTAAGAAACAGTAATCTGGAACAAATCTGAAAGAAAATCATAAAATTAAATTTGATAAAGAGAATTTGAGTAGGGGTGTGTGTGTGTGTGTGTGTGTGTGTGTGTGTGTGTATATTTATATGAATGCAAACAAAAACATCATAAATTCTCTTTATAAATGCAAAACATAATTTCATGTACAGGTTTACTTTTTGTGTATAACTTTTGCCCTTCTGAGGCTTGGTAAATCTGGGTTTTGCATATTGTGTCACAAACCTAAAAAATAATCTAACAGTTTAATAATTAAGCTATTAGTCAGCTATATGTTTTTTTAATATACAAAAAATTTTTATTTTCTGAGAATGTGTTTAATTAAGAGCAACTATGCAAATGAACAAACATCTAGAAAAAATAGACTATATTCTCTTATTTTCCATGTGAATCCCAGATTGTTTTTCTTCTTTGCCTTTTCTTAAAAAGTGCTTTAAATCAGTCCTAGCTGTCTTTATCCATGCTGGAACAGATCGTGACTGTGAAAAGGAGGCAGGGAAAGCAGGATAAAGCTTTAGCCTCGCCGCATGCCGTTAGCCTAGCCTCGTAGCTAAACCAGGTCCTGGAAAAGGACATTTCTTGCACCGTTTCTCTCTCTCGAGCGCGTCTCCAACTCCCGCGACTCGACCTGTCAATCACCCACAAAACACTGTGGCGAGAGGTGGTGAGCAAACACACTTCCTGTCACCTCTCCTCTGCTGCGCATGTACAACTTTTAACGAGAGTTAACGGGCAAGTAAAAAGCCCATTGACCGTTGGACAAAAAATGGAATTATGCTTTACTTGTCATTAAAGATTAAATATTTATCTTGCACAACAAAAAAATATATATAAATATATTTTTGAAGCGTTTAAATATTTTAAATGAAATTACAAAAAAATAATAATAATTTTAACGTCTTAATCAGGGTCATGGGGGCGGTGCTCTAGGCCCCTCTATTGGCCAGCCGTCAACTTTCCCAGTGTTCCTCGTCAGCTTTCCTTGCTCCACCTTTTTTGTGGTTCATAAAAAGCTTCTTTTTTTTATGTTATTGTCTTACTGTCTCTCCTATTTCTCTAATTCAAAAAAAAAAAAAACATCTAGGAAGTTTCTCCGTCAGCAGCTACGAGGGAAGAACTGTGAACTCCTGCTGGTTGTCTCGGAAGAGGTGGAGGCGCATCAAACATGGCGCTCAGATGGCTAACAGTTGAAGCAACCAATCACGTCCAGGGAACGGACCCGTCACAGGAAGCGGCATGGATGCACCCTTGCAGTTGTAGTCCTCTCCACCGCATTTCCTCCTCCTCCTCCACGCTTCTTTTCCTGGGTTTTGTTTACACAGCAGTTGCTGAACACTCATCTGACATGAGAGACAAAGGAATGAAGGAGGCAAACACTTCGCAGAGAATCAAAGAATGACTCTCAGTTCTTTCAATCTGTTTCAATCAGATTCTTTTTTTTTCTATTGTTTCCAAAGTTTTGGGAGTTTTGGATGTCAGGATAAAAGGGGATTTTTTTACATTGTGACGTTCACATTCATTGTTTTTCTATTCTCTCCTTTATGCGTTATGTTACTCTATATTCCCCATCCTTAACCTCCCACCTAAGTGCATCCTTTCTCTGCTGTTACTGTACCCCCCCAACTTTATCCATCCAATCACAGCAACACAGCAATGCAACACTCAGGCCAAGTACGCCCTCTAGTGGATATTTGCTTCAGCTCGCTTAAAACGATGTTAATTCTTTAAAAGTATTGCACTACACACAAATGTTACCCTCTAGTAAATGAAAAAGATTTTTTTTATTTTTCTAGGGTGAATTTCTCTTTGGATCAACTTTAGTCGGATCTGTCCACCTGTAGATGGTGAGGAGGATTATTTTCTGAACTGCACTCAGCCTTGTGTGATGACTTGATTGAATCCTACTGACTGAATGATCATTAATTAAAAAAAAAATCCCTACTGTACACTAAAAGTTTATATGCTAGCTCTTTACCACTCAAATGCCTCGCTAAGCCCTGATTGGTTGCTTCCAGGGTTCCTTCTTTTTTACCTATCTTTTGCGTCAATGGGCAGCCCTCTGTAGCAGGAACTCAGCAGATAAAGGGCTCAATTTCTTCTTTTTTTTTCTTAAAACACAGCAGCCAAATACAGCTTTAACATGAAACCACAGACTGTCCCAGGAAGTTATTTACGGTAATAGTTTGGTTCTGAATTGGAGGAAGGTTAGACGGCTGATGAAGGTTGTTAGCTTGAATATCTGGAAGGAATCTAAAGAGCAAAATGTTTTGGCAGGTTTCAAGAAAGTAGAATGAAAAATGAAAGTTGTGAGAAAAGGCAGATGTTGGATGTTACGTCTCTTAAACTCTTTGTATTAAACATGCGTCTGGACATGTTAATGATTATATCGGCCTTAACTTGTTTACATATAAAGTATCAGTACAATTAGGAGTGAGTTTTGCTGTTTGGCGTCATATCGGTAGATTAAAGCCTGAAGGCGTTTATAATGACTAAAGAAGAGAAATGGAAAATGCCCTTTTGTTTTGAGCGATGAGGTTTCATTTCTCTGCCAAGGAATTTATGTTACAGGAATCTGCTAATCTGTACCTTTTTCTTTTATATAATAAGAAATAAAAAAGTACAAGTTGTGCATGTTTTATTTTGAATTTGAAACCGCATTCTCAGACTCCACGCCTGTCTAATCCCTTTATGACACATTATATCCATGTGAATTAATGTCGGATATTTTCCTTCACTGAACTCGGATAAGACAACCTGAGATCACATTTACTTTGTTTTTTTTCTTGCTTTATTGCCATGACAATCCATTAAGTCCGTCCTCTTAAGGAATCCTGATTGTCAGTGTACTTTATTTTTTCATAAAAAATAAAATGCTCCTACTGGCAACTCATGTCTCTGTGTTATTCAGTAATATTGTAAACGTTTATA